AAATCGTGATCAGCTGATAAAACCGACAAAGTCAGCGCTAACCAGAAGTCCAATGGGTAGATAGAGACAGTCCATCGCTAACGTTTTGAACTTTATGCACTGGCAACCAACAATTCTGAACAAGTCTTTGATGATGATTCCAAAAAAGAAAAAAAAAAAAAAAAAACAGCAGCAGAATAAAAAGGGAATGAATAAATCACTGAGAGTCTTACGATGAAGTGCAATCAGTGTTTTTAAGAAGAGCCTCCGAATGAACATTTTATGGTATAATTAAAAAATATATATTGAAAACAAAAAAACAACAACAACAAATCAACAACAATCCAGTGAAATGTAAAACAAAGAAAGATGATGTGCATGAGGCCATCATCACCATATATTGAGACACACAAAGATAACCAGAAGAGAATGTAATGAAGCGTAAGCAGAGGGGTAGGATACGACGCCCATGCAGACTAATGAACGCTTGTAATAATTAAGATTTTAATAAACATGTAAATGCAACTGGAAACAATAAAAAATGAAAAAAAAAAAATGTTTTTGAAAGACTATCAGAGTGGGGCTTTAAGTGTGGATTTTAAAAAAATATATTCTCCATGGCCAGAGAGCCAATAGCTTGGATTTTCAAGGGATATTTTTTTCAAATACCAGCAGTGTATCGAATGTTCATTTTAATTTTTATTTTTCAAACAGATCAATAGAGCTAAAGTTGGGCATAACAATGAATATTTTCTCAAAGACCAAAAGTGCTATGAGCGTGAAGTCTTAATAAACCTTTCTGAAGGATGATCGGACTTTATGTATGATTTTATTCGAGGACTAATAGAGTAAAAATCGTGGATTTTTAAATTGGAAAAATAATTTATTAAAAAAAAAAATATTGGAACAGAAATTTGGATTTTCGGTGGTAATTTCGGTTAATGTTTTGTCATGGATTTTTTTTAAAGAATATTTTTCAAGGACCCACATGGGTATAATCGGGAATTTCTTAACAATTTTAATGGATTTTTAAAAAATTATGTTCTTACGTTTTTGAAAACTACTAGAGCAATAAACTTGAATTTAATTAAGATTATTTTGAGGGGGTAACCAAATCAGGAGTTTATCATTTCCCCATTGAGAATTTTTACAATATAATGTTAAGAAAAAATTTTAAGGAGATCATCATAAGGTATTTACAACATATGAAATAATTGACTGACTGGCTGATCGAAAATCAACTCCCAGATAAAGTGGCTGAAGTTAGAATCTTGAAAATTTGTTCGAGAATCTGTCTTGGTGCGTAGGAGTGTGATAAATTCTTGGTTTTTGGAAGTTTGTACTAACGGCACGAATGTAACTAAAATGTACTAAAAATTGAAAACTTTGCATTTCACAAACGGAATGAGTCAAAAATTTGGAATGAGAGTCCGTAATGGAGTGCAGGATAGATGTACAGGGTTGCCCATGTTCGACGGACCCATCTGGCTACGCTATAACTTTTGACAGAGATGTCACATCGCTTAATGACATACCGCGTTTGAAGTGTCAGTCCAAGCATATTTTTACCATGAACCAATACACGCCACGCGAGCGCTCTGAAATAGTTGAAATGTACATTCAACAGAAGAAGTCAATTGTGAAAACTCAACGTGCTTTTAAAACATTAAAAAATGTGAGAAGTGCGCCTTCTAAGAGCATCATTAAGCGTATATACGAAAAATTTTCGACTGGTAAGGCTCTTTCTAATCCGAAGAGGCCATATAAAAGTCGACCAAGGCGATTGGCCGAGAATATCGCTGCCGTACGAGCCAGTGTTGAGAGGTCCCCAAGAACATCCCAAAAACGCCGTTCTCAGCAGTTGGGCATGGCTCGGTCCACTTCACAACGGATTATTCGCATTGATTTGCATTTGTTCCCGTACAAAATTCAATTGACGCAAAGAATGTTGCCTGCGGACAAGCCTCGTCGATTGGAATGGGCCCAAAAAAACATGGGTCCGTTGAATATGGGCAACCCTGTACCGAAGGGTTTTTGAAAATTAGAACCTTAGGTTAAGAAAAAGTTATAAAATTGCACTAAACTTCTAAAATGGTACCATTCGGAATTATTTGAACGGATAGAGCTAAAAACTTAAAATTTGGTATGAGAATAAAGTTAATAGAGGAAATCTAATTTGATATACAAAGGTGGGTTTGAAAATGCGTACTAAGTGTGGGAACTGTACTAAACGGTACTAAATTTGGAACAGTTTGGTTAATAGTGAACGGTTGAAGATGGAATTTTGAAATTGTATATTGAGGTTCCTGTTGGTGGTCGATTTCTGATAAAGAGGTGGTTTTGAAAATGTGTACTTTAAGTGCACAAAAAGTATTTTATTGTACTAAATTTGGTACACTTTGATATTGGGTGAAAAAATAGTGTTTGAAATCTGAAATTTGGTATTATGGTCGCTGTTTAAGTGTAGCCTGGACATATGGAGGTGGTTTCGGCAATGTGTACTATAATTGTTCAAAAAGTACTGAATGCTACTATATTCGCCTTAGGTGAAGGGATAGAGAAAAAATTCTGAAATTTGATACTTAAATTTGAAATTTGGCGTTGGTTTTGAAATGTGTTCTATATTTGTACGAAAGGTACTAAATTTGGTATTGAGTAAAGATATTTGGGCTGGAATCCTGAAATTTGATATTGCGGCCTCTGTTGGAATCTAGGATTAAAAATATGGAGGTGGTTTTGAAAATGGATTTGGATGGGAATGAAGATAAAATTATACGAAAAGTACTAAATAGTAATAAATGTTGGTAGTGGATAAAGGAATATAGCTGAAAATCTGAAATTTGATATGGATGTCACTGTTGGTGGTGGAGAGTATGAGCTGGTTTTGAATGTTCGTACTGTAACTGAACTAAATGGTACTAAATAGTACTACATTTGGTATTGAGTGAATGTATAAACCTGGAATCTCGAAATTTGATATTGAGATCTCTCATGGTATTTGGTTTTGGCATATGTGTTTTGGAACTGTGTAATATAATTGATACTAATTTTGGTCGTTTTTGTTGTCTAGGATGGCAGGGGGGCTTGTTTTGGATATTCGTACTAAATATTACAAAAATTGTTACTGGGATCGAGCTGAAATTCTGAAATTTGCTTTTGACGTCACTTTTGGTTTCTTGAATTTAAATATGTGGACCTTGAAATAGTTTTGGACAGAAAAATTGGATGTGGGTCCATCGTTCAATGAATTGAAAACTTGCATTTTTGAGGAAATGTTACAGATGATCTGTAACCTGAACATCAAAATATACTACAATCTGGGTATTATCATCGAGAGCCGAATGCTGTTCACCAGAGTTCCTGTTCATCTACAACTCGAATAGGGAAATCATTTACAACTTGAACGTCATCATCGCGGTTCCCTCATCAGTATTCCAGATTATCCTCAGATCATATGTAACTCGAAAAACGCAATACCCGACATCCATTCACTAGAGTTCCCGATTATAGACCGACCAGCGGCATCGTCCACAACCTCGTCATCGTAGCCCGTTCACCAGCTTTTCCTATTATCCTCATCTTTAACCCGAACATCGTATTGCTATACGACTATTACCCCGAGTTCCAGTTTATAACCCGAACAGTGGTATTGCCTACAACCCGATCAGTGAAATCATCTGCAAGCCGAACATGATCAACGCGTAATCTGCTACGATCATTCACCATATTTGCCAATTATATTCAAATCGTCTATAACCCGAAAATCATAGTCGAAATTCCCAAGACACTCGATATCCATTCACAAGAGTTTCCGATTATCTTCCAATCGTCTACAACGTGAATAGCTTCATTGCAATACCAGAATCCCCAACGTCTACACATCAAAGTTGGCAATTATCTTCAAATCATTTACAACTCAAAGATCATCATCATAACACACGACATCCATTCATAGAATTCCTGAACGTAGTAAACATCGAATTCTCGATCATCAATTGCATCTGAACAGCAATTAAATGTCCGAGTATTTCTGATGTCAATTCGCCAATATACCTATTAAATCCATATTATAACACTTAAACCCGAGTAGATTATAATCCTTTCCACCAGGTTACTACTGAGCCTACCCACCAGCCGATGAGGGCTCCACATTACAGGTCTAATAAAAATCTGCTATTTGCAACAAGATACTGGATTTCTCTCTTTAAAATTTTTCTCAAGAGGCCTCTTTATGTAGACTTCTTATCAGAAATCCCCTTGAAAGGTAACTCAAGGGTCTTATATGTCTCGAACATTTTGCACTCCAGAGGCCCTGTTAAAGGTCCGTCATCTACATAAAGTAGAACTAACCTTTTCTACCTATATATGTAAAAGAAAAATTATTTTTTCCTAAGACCTGTTGAAATTTCTTATTTCTTTATTTATTCGCTTATTTTTTATTCTCTCCAACAAACAAACAATTCTATTTCTAAAACTACTTCATCATGCTTCCATCAAATAAAATCACTGCACTTAATAAAATATTTATTGAATACAATTTCGCTCACTTCTTCAAAAGTAACTAAATAACCCGAACGATTGTCAATTTTCTGTTCTGATGGCGCCCAATTTTGCAAAGCTGTGAAAAATTCTCTTCCTCTCCTGCACATAACAAACATTGAAGCTTCAAGAAGATAAGCCATGCAAGCAAAAATGTCTTTTTATAACATAATTTCAGATGGAAAAAAAAGATGATCGAAAAATGAACGCATAATGCACATGTTATTCCCCATCCACTGACTTCGTATGCAAAAAAAATGATATGATGTGTTGTCCTTGTCGATTTTTTTATCTTCTCTCTTTTATGTGACAAATATGCTGAGGAGACATTTCATCGGTAATGTTAAAGGCTGTATGGTAATGATAATATTGATGCTACTCGTACTGAATGCGACCTTTGTTGGCAAAGGAGAAGTCGAGTGAAGTACATCCTATCAGAGGAAAGAGGGAGGAGCGAACAAAGTCAAATCAGCTCATTTTACATGGTTGCCAAGAGTAAGGATAATGTCGAGTATGATGATGAAGAAGTCGATAATATTCTAGATGCTGTCTACAGTGCCATTATGGTTGATGCCATTGTTGTTGTTCTTGTTGTTGTCTGTTATGATGCGGATGATAATAATCGTAATGATGTTCGGTAATAAAGTACCATTTAAAATGAAGATAGAAAAATACATGGCGTGTATACATGCAACGAATACCAGCAGCCAGTGCGGCATGTCATGGTACAATGTACGCAGCAACAATCATCCATATGGAAAGGTCTTATGGTGCTGTCAAATTGACAGATGCAAATTGTCAGGGACAGTGGGGTTAATGTGAAGTTTGTACAACATAAGAAGAGACTCAGTCAGGTAGACAGAAAATAAATAGATCGAGGTTAAGTATGATAAATTTTAAACTAGACGACCGTTAAAAAATTATCTATATTAAACAAGTAAAAAAAATAAGTTCGGCCGGTCCGAACTTTTAATACCTTCCACCATTTGTAAAGAAATTCGAAATTTTCTCAAAAAAAAAAAAAAAAAAATGTTAAAATACTGTTAAAATTTTAAAAATACCGAATACAGGGAGTTACCGTCATTTTGTGGTCTATACGAAAGCATGGACCTGCATAGGCAATTTGCAATAGGTAATTTTCTGTCACAGACTGTAGTACGCGTTCCTAACTGCAAATACTAATTTTGAAACAAATCCAGTGAACAATGTCGCTAAAAGCATCAAAATATCGAATTTCGGGAGGTACACTTATATGGGGGCTATATCTATACGTAGATCTATATAGCCCATTTTCAATACCAAAAGTCCTGCAGACCAAAGACACATCTGAGTAAAATTTTATCATCTTACTTCAATTCGTTCGGAAGCTAGAATAATTTCCACAGGTGGACGGACATCGCTCAATCGACATAGGATTTTATGCAGATCAAGAATATACAGGGTGAGATTAAAAAAACTGCAACAAAGTCAACCGCCATAATTTTTACATTTTTTTTTTAATTTCATTGAATGAAAGCCAGAAATGTCGGAAATAGCATCAAATTTTAGAATAAGTTTAGATTTCTTCGAATCCCCTTTGATACGAATTATGGCCTTCAAACGGCTAATGAAACCGTCAAACGCTGCCCGAATATTGCTCTGTTGTATTTTGGAGCATTACCGGTGAAGCACTTGCTTGAGGTGATTCGCACTTTGGTATTTTTTAATGGCAACTCTGCTTTCCAAAATACTCCAGATTGGTATTGGTACGGATTGGAGATTTTAGTGGCCATTGTGCGCTGGAAATGAAGCGAGGAACCTCATTTTGTAACCATTCTTGGGTGGCGCGTGCTGGCCCATTTCCGGTGAAGCGCTTGCTTGAGGTGATCGACACTTTGGTATTTCTTGGTGACAACCTTGCTTTCCAAAATACTCCAGGTTGGTATTAGTACGGATTGGAGATTTTAGTGGCCATTGTGCGCTGGAAGTGAAGCGAGGAACCTCATTTTGTAACCATTTTTGGGTGGTGCGTGCTGAGTCCTATTGGAATGTCCAAGGTCTGCGGCCAAAATATTTGCGTGGCCAAGGCTTTAATACACCCTCCAGAATATTTTCGCCATAATATTCGGCATTTATTCTGATGCCACGGTCGATTAATATAAGCGGAGAGCGACCATAGGCTGTTATGGCGGCTCACACCTTTACCATGGCCGGTTCTGGTGGCCAACCGAAGGTGCACATTTTCAGCTGACCTCTTTGGCAAGTAAACACGATCGTCTGGTTTGTTTACAAACTGTTGGACAACGAACGTTTTCTCATCGGAGAAAACCAAATTCGGCAGCTCACCACTTTCGGCCAAGCGAAGCAACTCTTTAGCTCTTTTGAGTATATTTTCCTTCTGTGGCGATGTAAGTTCTTGCACTTTTTGGAATTTCAATGACTTTACTCCGAGCTCACTTTTTAATATTTTCCGAATAGAATATTGCGATATGTTCAGCTCAAGAGCCATTTTCGGCCACTGCAACGAGGCTTTCGATTAAGTCGCTTCTTTACTTTCCAGATTTAAAGAAATCACACTATCACGCTTGAATTGTATCCCGAATAACTTTTTTTCTGGAAAATTCTCAGCAAAATGCTTTTGTACGCTTGTATACAATATGATGAGCTGTTACTGGAATAATTTTAACAGCTGTCGGACGAGTGGCTTCAAAATGACAGCAGTCTGAAGTTGTGTTCAATTTTTTCATCTCACCCTTAGTTTTGGACTGAAAAATTGGATGTGGTTCCATTCTACAATGGCTTTACAAATATCCTGCTAGTGACCTTCATCCGAGATTCGATCTTCATTCATTTCTCCTGGTCGTTTATAGTCAAATTATCAGTTAGTATTTCTTATTATTCTTTTACATAAAATATAGGTCTTCCACAGTCCAAGCCCTTTCCCTAACCTTTATAGAAAATATAACCCTTTCAATAGCCATATATAACCTCTATAGAAAATATTTATCTTAGCTTCACCAAATGAAAGATGAAACCGTAGAGAATCTTAAACCACTGTACTCCCCTCCTTTATAAACAAAAGACAGAAGAAAAATATACCCCATTGCTTAATTTGCCGCTTCTCTCAATCTGGAACTTACTGTGTGTGTGGCATTTTGTCAATGAGGATAATATTACAGCAGCAGCAACAACAACAACGACAAATCAAAATGGCTAAACTTTGCTGATTAAAGCACAAATATCAGCATCTTCATCATTATCGACAACGAACAGACTCTTCGAGCGGGCAAACTTGTTCGCTACTTAGCTAAGCGCAGAAGCAACATGTGCCTCATCATCGTCGTCATTTACATATCAGAAAACTCAACAACAGCAACATATCAGAAAACACTTCAAAGGGGGTGAAGAGCACGGTGCACAGACCTGATGACACCAATGAAGTACAACATGTTGCTGTTGCATATGCAAAGTATGACTTGTTGTGTTGTTGCCTTTTGTGTTTTGCTTAATTTGTTTGTGGAGTTTTATGTTGCTGCTCTTTGACAAGCTTTCAATTGGAATGTTTCACTAAATCGACGAAAGTCATTAAGATTGCAATGTTTGGTAGATGAGCTGTGAGTGCAGCTAATGAGAAGTGGAATTTATAAAACGTCAACTTGGCCAAAACTTGGGAACCAATCTAAGTCGATTAATGGGTTGACCTTTAATAAATTGTCCGACTGTCAAAACAAAATTTCGTAAAATTGTAAAGGCTCCGAATTACGCATTTCCAATTCATGGTAAAAACGTTTGCGTTTTTTTGTGGTCGAGTAATGGTATCCAATAAAAAAAAAAAAGTTTGTATGGTATACCCTCCGCCAATAACCTTTTATCAAAATTCTCATCAGATCTCTGGATGAGATAAATATTTAGATACATCAATGTAGTTATTGAAAATAGCCGAGTTCGAAAGAAAGGGACGCTTATTTCGTGTTTTAAAAATTTAGACCGTTGGGGGGGAAGGGGAAGGTACTAGAAGTAGTGCTCCGTTCTGTCCGTTCTTCATTCAAGATCTTGTGTTGGTAATGGAAATATTTAGATGTAAGAAATTTTACCCTTTTTTAACCCTTTGTTTGGGAGGTACCAGAAGGAGTGGTCCGAAATTTTTCGTCTTCTCACCTGGGGCTGGGTTCTTGTCCTATGAAAATATGAAATGAAAAATATTTCCTTTATAAAATTTTTCATTTGACATTTCTTTCCTTTAGAAAAGTTTTCATTTCACCTTTTCATAGAACAAGAATTGAGGCCCTGGTCTGTGTTGATAGATATATTGGGATGTGCCAAGTTTGAATATAATCGGATTCTCATTTCGCGTTTTATAGTTCCTGTTTGTTCAAAATGTTGACGCTTTGTGGGGGAGATACCAGCAGGAGTGAAGCTATATCTATCACCATCGCACCTGATCTTGTTTTAGATGTGCGAAATTTTAAGAGAATCGAATAATAATATCGCATTTTATAGAAGTTATAATTATTCAAAATTTTGACTCTTTGCGGGGGAGGTACCAGAAGAAGTGGTCCGATCTCTACGATCTTTACTACAGATCTCGTGTTGATAAAAGTGTTGAGATTTGCCAAGTCTGAATGGAATCGGATGTTAATCTCGCGTCTTATGAGTTTCAAAGATATTCAAAATGTTGCCCATTGGTGGGGGAGGTAACAGAAGGAGTGGACCGATATATACCATCTTCACTCCAGACCTAGGGTTAATAAAAATATTGTTATGTATGTAATTTGAAGACAATCGGACTCTTTCATCACATTTTATAATAGTTATAATTATTCAAGATGTTGACCCCTTGTGGGGAGGTACTCACCTGATCTAGCACTGATGCAAATATTAGACTTTGCAAAGTTGGAGCAAAATCGTATTGTCCTTTCCTTCTCTGTGCAGTAAAATATCTTCTTCCGAGTGAAAGATCATCCACGAACGATTATATTACGAGTTCCCAATTCGAAGACCTGGACATCAACATCCCAACCATCGTAAACTCTAATATCTAGAACTCTTCAGCTCGATGACCATTTATTGAAGTTCCCAATTATCTTGAAGTTGTAAACTTCCCGAACGTTGAGGTCACTACATATGCATCTCAATTCCCGATCTCCCGCAACAATCAACACCTGGCGTGCATTCAGAAAGTTCCGAACCCCCGAACACAAATTTCGTAATTCCTGAACCTCCTCACTTGTCACCCACCAATACCCTATCACCTTCAAGAAATTTCAAGGACTGCTAAAAAATAATTTCAAAGATTTATTACAGATCCATAATCGCGGATTTTTTCTTTAAGAAAATATCAAATTTCAAAGACTTCTAATCCTGTAAGTTTTTTTTTTTTTTTTTTTTTTTTAATTTTTAAATCCAGACCCGGATTTGTATGTTTTCAAAGAAAATTTAGAGACCTATCCAAGACCCTAAATCGTATGATTTCAAAGAAATGTCAAAGATCTATCAAAGTCTCTAAATCGGGGCATTTAAATCCCATAAATAGTTCGGAATTTTTGATTTTGAAGCGTCACAGGAGAGTTTTGATTTAAGAATTTCATAAGCAGAGGAGAAGGAGGTCTTTATATCGTCACTTATTTAAGGAAATTTCAATGTCT